GGAGGTATTAGTGAGGGAGGGCTTGCAAATGCAGCAGACAAGATATACCGCTGGTGGAAAAAATGCATTATTAAATGCATGTTTTCATTGGGGTTTATTTACTAAACAGTGATTTACATTTTTAAATGTATTTATTTTAATTTGGGCAGTGGAGTGTCAGTTTAAGGAAAAATGGGTGAATCACAAACCAGCAATCAATAACGTTCCTGACTTTTGTCTGATATTGAGTGTTTTCAATGCACAATCACAAACCAGAAATATATCACAACCACATATTACCAGTAACACTGCCAAAGTTAGAAATAATTATTAACTTAACACAGTACTTAATTTCAGTAGTTATCATTAATCACACACTCTTGAGATTGATACCCCACGATAATGAGTTTATGGACAAACAAAATGGTTCCATGCTAAAGTGACCTGACCTGTCTATTTGACCTCTTTCATATTATTATTATTTATATAGGGCCAACAAATTCCGCAATGCTGTACATACCACCTGTAATTTTGATCCCTTTAGATATTTTGGGTATATATGTTGTGTTATATTTTTTGCTATGGTATTATGTTGTTGTTTGTTCTGTTATGTGTACATTATTTGCTTTAATTGGTTAACTAGGAATCTATAGTTAAGTCAGTTGGAGTGAGTCGTTTGTTGGTTCTGCTGAGCTGTAAAAACCTTTGAAACTTTGTGATATTGGTTAATGGTTAGAATTTTTTTTTTCTGTGGTTTATCTAGTCCTTTTTGATACTGTGAATAATGGTTCAGTTAAAGGAACACTGTAGTCACCTAAACAACTTTTGCTTAATGAGGCAGTTTTAGTGTATAGATCATGCCTCACAGGTTTCACTGTTCAATTCACTACCATTTAGGAGTTAAATCACTTTGTTTCTGTTTATGAAGCCATTGCCACACCTCCCCTGACTCTGATTGACAGAGCCTGCATGAAAAAAACTGATTTCACTTTCAAACAGATGTAATTTACCTTAAACAATTGTATTTATTGCTCTGTAAATTGAACTGTAATTACATACAGGAGGCTCTTGCAGGGTCTAGCAAGCTATTAACATAGCAGAAGGATAAATGTAAATTAAACAGAACTTGCAATAAAAGAAGGATAAACATTAGATCAGGCCTGTCCAACCTGCGGCCCCCCAGATGTTGCTGAACTACAACTCCCGTGATTCTTTCAATGAAACAGATAGCCAGGGAATCATGGGAGTTGTAGTTCAGCAACATCTGGGGGGCCGCAGGTTGGACAGTCCTGCATTAGATGGCTCTTTACAGGAAGTGTTTATGGAAGACTGTGCAAGTCACATGCAGGGAGGTGTGACTAGGGTTCATAAACAAAGGGATTTAACTCCTAAATGGCAGAGGATTGAGCAGTGAGGCTGCAGGGGCATGTTCTATACACCAAAACTGTTTCATTAAGCTAAAGTTGTTTGGGTTACTATAGTGTCCCTTTAAAGTGTTGATATTTTTCTTCAGAAGGATTTTGACCACATAAGCTAGACATTTTTATATATGGTTATAGGTCGTTGTATGGATAATTTAAAACTGTTGTTGAAAATTATTAGGGAGGAAAGATTGTGATTGCATTAACATAGTTAGCACCTTACCAGCATGTCGGTAATAGTCAAAAAATAGATTGTGATTTACCCCAATTGAGAAAAATGTCTCAAAAATCTGCATCTGCCTAGTCAGTTGTACACTTAGAATGAGATATCACTGAATATATATGTGTATTTTATTGCAGTAAAAGTTAACAGTATATTGACGTTAACAGTTAAAATGCCATACAGAACTTGGAAAATAACTTTCTTAAATTTCTCAATATCTCACACTTTTAATTTTATTCATATTAAATTGTGATATATATATATATATATATATATATATATATATATTTGATGTGAGATGAAAGCCCTATATTTCCTGAACAAAATCACATATAATAAGTTGGGTGCACTTAATATGAAAGAGGTAAGTTATGGTTGAGCAGACATATAGCTCAAATTCCAGGTTCTGTTTTGATCAGAATTTTCTCTGGTAATGCACAACAACGCACTGATTGGCTGGAACTCAAAAGACAGCTACTTATGGTCTGCAGCCAGCAGAGAAGTGCAGGCCAGAGGTGCCAGACTGCCTCCGCTGCATTACAGAGGGGCAGACTAAGTTTGTCACATAATACTGTGACACACAGTTACAGGCAGACAGTCACACAAACACACTCAGTCACAGGCAGACAGTCACACACACACAGTTACAGGCAGTCACACAAACACACTCAGTCACAGGCAGACAGTCACACACACACACACACACACACACTGAGTCACAGGCAGACAATCACACACACACTCAGTTGCCTGTATACAGTCACACACACACACAGTTACAGGCAGACAGTCTCACACACACACACACACTCAGTCACAGGCAGACAATCACACACACACTCAGTTGCCTGTATACAGTCACACACACGGTTACAAGCAGACAGCCAGTCTGGTCAGGTAGTCCCTTGTCATCTTGCAGACTATCTAATATATGTCTTGTGTAAATCTGCAGGAGCCATCTTCCTGTGTAATCTAGTGTGCATGGGCGTCAAGATATTTGCCAGCCTCTCTGGCTAGTGCCATTCAGTGTAACCCATTGAGTATTACAGATGTGCTCTCTTTTGGGCTGAATTCAGTTGTGTGCACAGTGCAACTGTGTTTAATTATTATTATTTAAAAAGCGCCAACAAATTCTGCAGCGCTGTAAAATAGGTGGACTAACAAACAAGTAATCGCAACAAGATGAGTTGAATGCACAGAAACAGAGGTTGTTGAGGGCCTGCTCAAATGAATTCGTATGATACACTTGGGCTGGCCTTGTTGGGGACATATCTCTGGTGTCCTCATAAGCAAGACGCAATTAGGTATACAGTATGTATAAGCAGATGTTTATTATGGAGGTGCACAATTGAGGCTTATGTGTGAATTTAATATTTTTAGAGCCTTACATCACATATAGTCTTCAATCTCTATATCATCATGGTTTCCTTATATTAGAATAACACAGATTATGGTAGAACACCTATTATCTCTTTGCTAAGTAAAATTCAGACCAGTATAGCTGTTAATATCAGAGTTCTCTTGGACAGATATACACATGTCTTTAATATAAGGTAAAATTTGTTTTGCCTTCCAAACAGACAGTGTTGTAAATATACATAACTAACTGAAGACAAGTTATTCTTCCTAAACAGGCAAAATATTGCTGAAATATATCATTGATGAGTTGCCTGCCAAAAGATGTCTCTCCCATGATCTCATGCACATGTTGGTAGGACTCATCAAATAAATCGCTGCCAATGATTGAAATGTTCTAGGTGTTTGTACTTGTACATTGCATCTACAAAGGAACATTGCAGCCAGGAGTTAACCTTCCATGATTTATGCGTTATTTGTATATTTCAGTTAAAAAGCAACATATAAAAATATAAAACAAAATATAATTAATAAGTAAATTAAAATGCTAGCCTTTGACGTTTTGTGTTTACTGCGAATCCTCATGACTAGGAAGTGGCTGACAGCTCTCAGCCATGGAAGTTTAAAAAAGCTACATATAAACCATATACAAAAGATTTTAAAAAAAGACTCATGTTTGAAGTTTCTGTATTTAATGCAAATCCCATAATTATGAAATACTGGAGTAGTACACATGCGCATGTCTGTGTGACGTCACGGTATATGCCTGTATGAGAGCCAGGAAGTTATAGTCCCGTCTCCCATGCTAAGAGGTGTGGTTTGGGGCCACTAAGAAGGGGGGGGGGAGGGGGGACTATTGTAGGGTGCTAACTAAGTACAGGGGCGGACTGAGAGCCTTTGGGGCCCCCGGGCAAAATTAGATTCCAGGCCCTTTGAAGGCCAAATATATGTGCATTAAATAAATGTTAAATATAACTCATAATACAGCATTCCTTTGGATGTGTACATTGCGAAGACCTGTGTATCAATGCATGTTTGTATTTGAGTCTGTGTGAATGCACTTGTGCATGTCTGGATGACTACATGTGCTTTTTTGTATATAGTGTCTGTGTAAATGCATATGTGACAGGTGACAGAGTGTTTGAGGGAGAAGGTGACAGGTGGAAGAGTGTGGGAGGTTGTGACAGGTGGCAGAGTGAGGGGGTACCTGGTGGCAGAGTGAGGGAGGGAGGGGTGGGTTGGTGGCAGAGTGAGGGGGAGACACAGTGAGTGGTGGTGACTGGTGACAGAGTGAGGGAGTGGGTGACTAGTGACAGAGGGATGGAGAGGGGGTGACTAGTGACAGAGGGATGGAGAGGGGGTGACTAGTGACAGAGGGATGGAGAGGGGGTGACTAGTGACAGAGTTAGGGAATGGGTGACTAGTGGCAGAGTGAGGGAGGGAAGAGGTGACTAGTGGCAAAGTGAGGGAGGGAAGAGGTGACTAGTGACAGAGTGAGGGGATGACTGGTGACAGAGTGAGGGAGTGACTAGTGACAGAGGGAGGTAGTGACAGAGGGAGGTAGTGACAGAGGGAGGTAGTGATTAGTGACAGAGTGAGGGAGGGGGTGACTGTCACTAGTCAACCCATCCCTCTCTCTGTCACTAGTCACTCCCTCCCTAACTCTGTCACTAATCACCCCCTCTGTCCCTAGTCACCCCCTTCCTCACTCTGTCACCCCATCCCTCTCTCTGTCACTAGTCACCCCATCCCTCTCTCTGTCACTAGTCTCTCCCTCCCTAACTCTGTCACTGTGAAGGAAGGGGTGACTGGTGACAGAGTGAGGGGATGACTGGTGACAGAGTGAGGGAAGGGATGACTAGTGGCAGAGTGAGGGAAGGAAGGGATGACTGGTGACAGAGTGAGGGAATGACTGGTGACAGAGTGAGAGAGGGGGTGACTAGTGACAGAGTAAGGGAGGGAGTGGGTGACACAGTGAAAGAGTGAGGAAGGGGGTGACCCAGTGAGGAAGGGGGTGACACAGTGACAGAGTGAGGGAGGGGGTGACTAGTGACAGAGTGAAGGAGGTGGTGACTGTCACTAGTCACCCCATCCTTCCCTCTGTCACTAATCACCACCTCCCTCACTCTGTCACTAGTCACCCCTTCCCTCCCTCACTCTGTCACTAGTCACCCCCTCCCTCTCTCTGTCACTAGTCACCCCCACCCTCTCTCTGTCACTAGTCACACCCTCTCTCACTCTGTCACTAGTCACCCTCTCCCTCACTCTGTCACTAGAGTGGGTGACTAGTGACAGAGTGAGGGAGGGGATGATCAGTGACAGAGGAAGGGGTGACTAGTGACAGAGTGAGGGAGGGGGTGACTAGTGACAGAGAGGGGGTGTGCCTAGCGACACAGTGGGGGGTGCCTAGTGACACAGTGAGGGGGGTGCCTAGTGACACAGTGAGGGGGGTGACTAGCGACAGCGAGGGGTGTGACTAGCGACAGTGAGGGGGGTGACTAGTGACACAGTGGGGGGTGACCAGTGACACAGTGGGGGGTGACCAGTGACACAGTGCGGGTGACTAGTGACAGTGGGGGTGACTAGTGACACAATGGGGGGTTGACTAGTGACAGTGAGGATGATTGAAAGACAGGGTGATTAGTGACAGTGGGGGTGACAGTGGGGAGGGTGATTAGTGACAGTGGGGGGATTAGTGTCAGTGAAGGTGTGAGATTCAGTGTGATTAGTGACAGTGGGTGATTAGTGACAGTGGGGAGGGTGATTAGTGTCAGTGAAGGGGGTGATTAGTGACAGTGGGGGGAGTTTAGTGACAGTGGGGGAGGTGATTAGTGTCAGTGAAGGGGGTGATTAGTGACAGATGGGGTAGTGACAGTGGGGGGACAGTGGGGGGAGGTGATTAGAGTGGGGAGGGGTGATTAGTGTCAGTGAAGGGGGGTGATTAGTGACAGTGGGGGTGATTAGTGACAGTGGGGGTGACAGTGGGGGAGGTGACAGTGGGATTAGTGTCAGTGAAGGGGTGATTAGTGTCAGTGAAGGGAGCAGTGGGGGTGATTAGTGACAGTGGGGGGGTGATTAGTGTTAGTGAAGGGGTGATTAGTGACAGTGGGGGTGATTAAACAGTGGGGGACAGTGGTGATTAGTGACAGTGGGGGAGGGTGATTAGTGTCAGTGAAGGGGTGATTAGTGTCAGTGAAGGGGGGGTGATTAGTGACAGTGGGGGGGTGACTAGTGACAGTGGGGGGGTGGAGGGGAGGGTGACTAAAGCCTACCTGTCTCTCTGCTCTTTCCCCGGCTGCTGCTCCTTCCCCACGCTGGGCTCTGTGTGAGAGGAGTAAACAGGAAGTGATGTCACTTCCTGGCCCGCCTCTCCCATCACACAGAGCACCGCGGGACAGGGAGAAGGAGACCTGGCAGAGAGGAGGTGAAGCTGCCAGGTCTCATGGGGGGGAGGGTAGTGGTGGTTGCTGGGGCCTCGCGCTGCATCAGGGGCCCCAGCAACCCATTGAAGGAAATTTTTTTTTTTTTTTTTTTGCCGTTCCAGTTGGAGAGATCTCTGATCTGATCTCTCCAGCTGGAGCATGGCTTTGCAGCCGGGCCCCTGACTGCCTCGGGCCCTCGGTCCATGACCGAAGTGCCCGAGTGGTCAGTCCGCCCCTGACTAAGTATGGGTCAGTATATCCCATAATAACAAGTGTAAAGGAAAAAATATCTCAGGCACTCACTGTGATGAATCAGGCAGATTTATTGGACACCGCAACGTTTCGACCTGTACCCAGGTCTTTATTAAGCTCCTTTTGACTCTTTATGAATTTTGCTTTTCAGCTTTAAGCAGCAAGAAGAATTTTTAGAGTAGGACTCACCTAGGAGGTTTGACAATGCGGCAGGTGGGCTTACACTTTAATGACCATTTTAATAGTACTTAAATCTCTGTTAATTAAATATGCATTCAGAATTGCGATAGTGTACAGGTAACCTTTTCAGGTTTTTTTATTGAAGTTTTTTTTTATTTAATTCTCTCCATAAATACATAGTGTTATACAATGTTGGTAAAATCAAGGTCCAGAGAATCTTGGTATCATAAAATAATGCGTTCTAAGTTTGCACGTTAGAGAGAGTTACACATGAAGAGATAACACAGCAAATAATTAAAACAGTTTGGAAAAGTTATACGTTCCGGGTTAGCATCTTGGTCAGGTGGGCATTGTCGTCGAGAACATTACATAAAGGCACGAAAAACAAAGTATTGATAGTGACTTAAGGTGTATTCGGTAACATGACCAGATTAAACCATGGGACCAAATAGGTCTAGTGATACCTGTGGGGTCAAACCTTCAAGAGATACGGCAATTTGCAATTACCAAAGTGTGGTGGAGCACCGTTATGGGGAACATTAATTAAGTGACACATGTTCATGAGATGTTTTGTAAAGTTAAATTTAGTGAAAAAAGAGTTAATGTGACCTTTGGTACTGTCATGAACTTACCTGTACCTGGCGTCTACCACGCAGGCAGAACGCACCACATGGCCGCAATACCGCAGTCCTCAGGCCGCGCGGACGTGTGGAGCATTTGGGCCTGAATAGATATTACTTACCTTCGGTCCCACAAATGTTTCCCTCTGTTGGTTCGCGGGACAAACTGCAGCCCCTATACATAAAATATTTTGCCATGACATCATGACTTTAAAGGGACCGCGTTATCTAGGTGACCCAATGCTGTTTGGGGTCACAGAGATGATGTGAACCAATGGGAACTCTTTTGAGCCTATTTAAGGCTTATTTTAGCCTTTATTCATTGCCTTATCGTGGTTTCTGTAAAGATCCTCACTTTGTGCTCCTAGTGATTACCTAGTGATTTTCTGTGTTTGATCTCTGCTTCATATTGACCTTGTGTTTTCTGGTATCCTGACCCGGCTTCATATTGACCTTGTGATTCCTGGTATCCTGAAATAGCTGTACCCCTCTGAGTAAAAAGTTATTTACTGTTGGGATGGAGTGTCTCTTTGAGATTTGGATCCAGAGGGAGAGCCACTGAAGTTGGTTTTTCGTTTCTTGGAGGTAAACTGCCAGTGTTGATGCTCTGGGAGTTGGGATGAGGAGGGCAACAGAACTAGACCCTACTAAATGGATACCTGCATCTCCAGGAGATCCAAGGCTTGTACAACTGGAGCAACATCCTTCATCATGGATATTGTGTAGGAGGATCCTTTATGGGAGACAATGGGGAAAAAAGGAAATCCCCAACTGTAGCCTATGTTTCTTGCTGGCAGGTTGTTAGTAATGGGTTTCAATGGTCGCCTAGCCTGTAGATACATGCAGGAGATGTCAGGGAAGATCTGGATCGGATTATTTAGGTAGAGTAATGGCTGTGTAGATTGGCAAAGAGTGCATATAATCTCTTCTTAAAAGAGTAATAGAGCAGCCTGCAGATGATATCTCTGGGGCTATGATTTGGAACACCTCGTGGTCTCAGAACTCTGTGGGCCTGGTCAAACAGAACCGGTATGTCAACAGGTTTGCCCATGAGGAGATTGAATAATTCTTGCAAGATGGAGGTAAAGTCCTCCTGGTCTAGCTCAGTAGGCCTTTAACACAGAGATTGTTGGGTTTCCCATGATTGTCAAGGTCGTCAAGGGACTGCAGCTTGGTGGAAAGTTTTGTCGTCCTCTACTGAGACTTAAAGTTGCTGAGTATATGTTAGGTCCCGATTGTCTTCCAGGGTGCTCATCCTGTCGCCAATATGGTGGATGTCCGTGCCAATTGCTTCCAATTTAGTTTGTAAGGAGACCTCAAATTTGCCCAGCATGTTTGCCAGGTCTCCCTTAGATAGCAGATTCTTGAAGATATCCCTCATGTCGGTATCTCAGACAAACAGGGACACCTTTTTGGACACCTGAGGGCTGTAATAAGATGTCACCTATTGGGTCTGTTTGTGAAAAAGCATGGTACCTAAAATATTTGGTAAGTGCGCCCGATTTTCCTGCGGTTGTCTTACCAGAGGGTTGCTGTGAGGCTAAGGATCTTTTGGATGTCCCATCTTTAGCAGTTTGCGCAATGGTAATGGATTTGCTTTGGTGATATGCAGAGCTCAGCTGATGCACATCCATCCAGCTTCACGGTTAGCTTTGCCCCCTTTTGTTTTTCTGTTTTTTTGTATACAAAAACAGCCTGCCACAAACTGACACTGGAAACATATACACTCCTGAATTTACCCACACTGACCCTTTACTGCTTTTCACGTGCCTGTTGAAGTGGTGAGTAAATTTTAGATTTGACTAGTAGCTCAACATTTGAACATTTGAGACATAAATCATATATCAATCAAATACTGCAATCAAATGCTTTGTAAATCCTCTATTAAATGTCAGTCTAATCCATCTCAAGGTCAATTAGTGAGAAGGCACATTTTTTGCATATATAATCTTATAATGCCCACAATTTTAACTGTCTTATAGATTAGTCAATTTAAAGGACTAAAGGACTCAACTTGCTAAAGTGCTCTGTGTGTGAAAAATATGTTCTCTTGTTCATATATTTAAAAAGTGGACATTTCAATTAGAAATTGAAATTTTCCATGTTAAACCCCCTGGCTGTCAATCAGACAACTGGTCCTGTTACTTCCTGGTTGTTTAGCTCAGTGGAATTAAACTCAGTAGGCAATTGCCAAGAGCACCCGCCTTGCAAAGACGTCTCATTGAGCTGCATTGGTAAGTCTGTAATTGGACAGACACAGAAAGTTTGAGCTGGGTTAGAAAGAGGAGGAGGGCTTCTGACAGCTTTTGCCAACTGTTTTAAACAGTGTTTTTTTTGTGTGTTTGCAGTGGAATGTCCCTTTCACCACCTTATTAACCTTTTTAAACATTGCAGTAGTGTTTACTGTTGTTTTAAAACAGCATCCAGAGAAGTGACAGTTCTTGTTTAATTTATAGGTATGTTTCTCTTTATCCCATAGACCATATACATACAGCACAACCCATATATATATATATATATATATATATATATATACTCTGCTCAAAAAAATAAAGGGAACACAAAAATAACACATCCTAGAGCTGAAGGAATTAAATATTCTTCTGAAATACTTTGTTCTTTACATAGTTGAATGTGCTGACAACAAAATCACACAAAAATTAAAAAATGGAAATCAAATTTTTCAACT